GAAGTAGAATTTTACACGGTGGGCCCGGCGACCCCCCCAAAGGGGCCAGAAGCATGTTTGGGCGCGCCTGAGTAGCTGGCGCTGTTTGTGCAGGAATAGGCAGGCCGCCACCGTCGGCCCTGTGGCGGGGGAGGGTTCCCAGGAAAGCTCCGACACTGGGGGGGGGGGGGACCCCGGGACTTCGGGGGGGGACGCTTTTCCCGGGGGGGAGGGGGCTTGCGGGGGAGGGGGGGGGGGTTTGCACCCAAATTACTCATTCCCCCCGGCCCCCCCCTCCCCCCCCCCCTCCCCCCCCCCCCCCCCCCCGCTCGTTCCTCCCCCCTCACTCCCTCCCCCTAAGCAGGCTGGCGAGGCTGCCCGATCGGAGGAGGGTGCGAGGCTGCCGCCGGGCGGGCCGACAGGGAAGGGCTCCTCGCGCCGCCGCGGCGGGGAGGGCGAGGGGGAGGAGAGGGGGTGGCTTGCGTGGGAGGAGGGGGCGCGCGCTACGAGCTGAGCGGGGTGGTCGAGCACCAAGGCTCGCTCAGCTGTGAACAGCGTCTCTTCACACCTGCAGCTGTGAACAGGTGGTTGAGCACCAAGGCTCGCTCAGCGGCGGCCACTACACGGCCTTCGTCCGCGCGGGATCGAGCTGGTGAGACGCCTAGGCTCTCCCAGACACGTCCGGACACTTCCACTACCTAGACATTTGCCCTTCCCTTCCTTGACATGCCGGGACACTGCCTAGCCACCGCCTAGACGCTCCGGCGCTTCCCAGGCGGTTTCTAGACACCCCTCCCCCAGACACCGACTGCTCTGCCCCCCTCCCCCTCCCCCTCTCTAGGTACCACATGAGCGACTCTCACGTGAGCGAGGCGGACGAGGAGGCGGTGCTCGGAGCGCAGGCCTCCTTGCTCTTTTACGTGCAGGTCTGAGGTACGTGCGGTGCGGAGCGCGGGCGGCGGGCGGTGGGGGCAGCAGCCACCCGCAGCGCGCCATGGGCAGACTCGAGTGCGTGCCGCTCGTGATCCTTGCCTATTACGCGCGCGCCGAGGCGCTCCGGCGGCCTCCGTTCCGGGCCGCAGCTTGACTAGTCTCCGTTGGAAAGGCGAGCTTCGATGCACGCCGCAGATGCGCAAAGATGTTGACGTTTGTCGGGTAGAGACTAGGGTAGAGATTTCACGACGATGACGATCGTGCTACCATCGCATGCCTCGTCGTAAGGCGCGGACAGTGTTGGGCCCCGATTTATTTAAAAAACGGACGCTTGCGTCCTAGCCTCCAACAACGCCTCCCCGGCGCAGAGGGGGCCCCCGGAGGGATGCTCAACCCCGCCCCACGCCACGCCGCTTGCGGCGGTCCCGCTAAAGGGTGTGGATGCTGGGTTGACGGAAATCGGGGGACGCGACCCACTTCGCCACAGACGGTCCCGCGCCTCGCCGCTATGACGGGGACACACCCCGCACCGTCCGCTGTGGCTCCGGCTCAGGTCGTGGGGCATAGCTTGGGTGTAAACAGGGTCTGGGGCGGAGGCCCCAGCGGCCGGCTGGCCCGCCGCAGGCGCCGATTTTTTTGGCTTTTTTGCTCAAAATTGAGATATTTCTCATCAAATTCTCATCAAAATCGATCGAGCTCGCTACGTCCTACGAGCTCTCTAACTGCACAGCATCTCCTCGTTGAGCCTAGCGGCGCCCGTATCGCCCACGCCCACATTCTTCTTCTTCTTCTTGCCCTTCTTGCCCTTGGCCCTTGCTGCACTTAGCCGCTCAACCTCCGCCAGCAGCAGCTCCTTGGCATGCCGCGCCGCCTCCATCTGCTTTGCTTCCCACGCTGCCGCTTCCTCTAAAGCAGCGCCGCCACTATGCACTAAGCGGCGCAACCAAGTTCTCGCATTGTTTGCATGAGCACGTGTCCTGCTTGGCGCGGCGCACAATCCGCGTGCGGCGAGTGAGGTGCGTGAGAGCAGAAGACTGACAGCAGGAGCTGCAGGAGCTGCAGGAGCTGCGCAGGTCAGATGGGCGGTGACGCCGTCGAGCGACGGCGCAAAGGCCAATCGCTGCTGCTGCGCCAACGAGAGCGGCGACACGAGGCTGGCAGCTGGCAGAGCGAATCGCGATTCCGGCGGCCGCCGTCAGCCCGCCGACACCGACGGCCTGGCTGAGGTCAAACTCCTCCACACGTCGGACCACGCGTCGGCCACGGCGACGAGACGTCTGTATGCAGACAGCCCGACACCCGGGCGATAGAACATGCCAGCTGGGCTCTACCAGGGCTCTCGTGGCCCGTGGCGCGTGCCCAGTGTGGAATAGGCGGTCTGCGGCGGGCGCATAAACATTCACAGCTAATGAAAACCGGAAAAACTAAAGTCTGCAGAAGAGTTCGAGCGGTCTTCGTGCTCAGAAGGATCAAGAGAGCTCTATTCACACCCTTTGTGCGTTGAAGACCATAGGCAATGTTTGTTTACACCCAACCGACGAGTGGCTGGGCCCTCTGACCTGAGCTGGAGCCCTGTGTCCCCGTCTTTGTTCTGAGTGAAAAGTCCAACGCGCTCGTCGGTGGCGGCTTCCCCCAACCTGCGCCGCGCTCGGCGAACCTCGACAGCGCTTTCGGTGGCATGCAGCTCGTTGCGACAGAAGCCTGGAGAGCAGCTCCTCTGCTGCTCACACACTCTGCACGACGAGCGGCCTACCTCCAACGGGGCGGTCTGGATCACGGGGGATGACATCCTGCCTCCCGGCACGCCGGGAGTGGAGGTGGTTGCTCCGCCGCCGGACCGGGGACCGCCCTCTCCACCACCCTCGCCCAGGGATCTACAACGCTGTCTTAAGGTCCGACCTGTGGGCTCTGCCTGCGCTCAGCACCGGGCACCGCCTCGGTATACAAAATGCGCCTGCGGGCGGACCCTCACAGATCACAGATACACTCTGCACAGTTGACACAGCCTACTGAGTACTGTGCGGCTGCCACAGCTGTGACAGCGATGGGCTCGCCCTCACTGGCCCTCAGTCACTTGTGCTGCGGCTTGTGTGAGCGACACTGCTCGGCGACTGCCGGCACACTGTGTGTGAGACCATGGGTGTGAGGTCAAACCACGCTACCAGCGCTTGGTCACATCGGCCCCGAGGTCAGATCCATCTACTCTGTTGATGACAAGACTTGTCTACCGGCTGGAGCCGAGCAGGAGGGCCCGGCGCACAACCCCTGGTCAACTCAACCGCTCCACACACCCCGTATTCCCAGCTCGCGGGGCGAAGGCTTGTTTGGGGACGGCCGCGCTAGGCGCGCACTGCCGCACACTGCCAGAGAAGCGACATTGACTCGCAATCATGCCCAGGAGCGCTCGCCGGGTGCGGATGGCGGGGGAGCCGTCCGATTGGATTCTCGTCGAAAGCAGCACCACCCCAGGAGAGTTTTTCGAACACAACGTGCAGACAGGAGAGACACGCTGGCCTGAGGAGGCAGCTCAAGGCGGGCCAGCTTTGTCTCTGGTGCTGCTTAGCGCTGGGCTGCCAGTCTGCATGGCCCGCCGAGTTCGCTCGGTCAGCATGTCGGACGGCAGCAAGATAGCGAGCGCAAGGCAGTGGCGAAACGAGGGCTGCGGCGGGCAGCCGCTGAGGGTGGTGTCAGAAAACGGTCCCTCGCTCGCCTCCGCCGCCTTGCCACAGGTGTAGGATCTGCGACCGTTCATTCCCTTACTAGGCTTTGTGAGCGTCCGTCGAGACGACCTCTCACAGCTGCTGCTGGACGAAGACGAGTGGCAAAGTCGGCTCGAGGACGAAGGCGGTGACGGCTCTCCTCTACAGGCTAGCCTCTCCAACGGCGCGGGGGGCGTCGTCGGTCTCACAGGTCCAAACGCGCACGTGGAGATCGAGCGAAGAGACTTTGGTGCCTTGCTTGCGACACCCATCGTCGTGCCCGCCTTCCAACGAGCATACTGCTGGGATGCGCTGCAAGCTCGGCGGTGGTGGCAGGATCTCTCCATTCCCCACCCCCCCGCGCACCATTCCGAGACCCACGACACTGGAGGGGCTTACTTCGTGCGCCGGCGCTGGGAGAGCGGCCACCCTGCCGAGGGGCGCTGCTACCAGTTGTGCGTGGATGGCCAACAGCGAGTCACCACAACCAGCCTGTTGCTCGCTGCGCTGCGGGATGCAGCGGTGCGCGAGTCCCGAAGCTGCATCTCCGAAGGATGGACGGCGCTGGTCCGCTCGTTGCACGACTGCCTGTTTGTGGACCCGCTGGGCTTGGAGGAATGGGCAGGCGAGTGGGCGCGGGACACGGCGACCGCGCTGGAAAGCAGTCTGGCTGCCGGCGACGATGGGACCGCCCGCCGAGAACTTCTCGCGCGGTGCGCCGTGCATCAGCTCGGCGCGCTGCCGACCTTTGCCGGCGGCACCGTCCTCCAGCCAACCTTCATGGACCGAGCCGCCTTCTACGAGCTGCTGACAGCGGGGGCGCGGTCCACATCTCTGCATCGGGCGCTGAATTCCGGCCAGGCAGCCGCAGAGGGGCAACGCCTCCCTGTTGACGCGCTCCTAGCTCTCGTGACGACCCCGCCACCTACGGTGGCGAGCTCCCACCAGGGTGTCGTCAAGGCGGTGTTCGATGAGGAGATTGCGGCGATGCTTCGAGCTTGCGACAACGAGTCCGCCACTTCCAACGCCGCCGAGGTTGTGATTTCTGAGGCCGCCGCCTCAACGGCTGCCCCCTCGTCACCAGCGGCGCGCCGGCTACTCCTGCTGGGCGGGCTGATGCGCAGGGCGCTCGGACGCATGACGCTGCTGTATCATGAGGTGCTGAGTGAGGTGCATTTGCAGGCCTGTGGCTCTGCCCTCAAGAGATGATACCCGAGATTCCACACGAGATTCCACACGAGGTTACCGCGAGGCGCCAGCGGTGTTTGTAATCTGGATCCCCCGCTCCCTCGCAGCAAATGTTTCTCTACCTCCAGGAGCGAGCTCTGAAGCTCCAGCTGATGTTTGAGGTGCCGCGCCCCCCGGGCGTCGGCCTCCACGCTGCCGATTTTGTCCGCAATCTGCTGCTCTCCACCACGCTCGGCCTGCCCGACGCGCAGCAGGAGGCTTTCTACCTGCGCTGCTGGCTCGAACCATTCGAGATGCGAGTTGGCCACGACGCGACGACCCTGGATCGCGTCCTGCAGAGCTTTGTCGACAGCCGTGGAGGCGAGCGGTCTGTGAGCGATTTTGAGCGATCGGCCGAAGCGCTCGCCTCCGCCCAAGAGCTGCGAGGTCGAGGCGGCGGCGGCGGCGAGGGAGGTGGCGGCGGCGGCGAGGGAGGTGGAGGGGGCGTCGGAGGGAAGAGCATTCTCAAACACGGGGGGGGCGCGGGGGTAGGAGGCGCGCATCCGCTGCTGCTCTCCCCCCTCGCCCGCCCCCTCGCCCGCGGCGCAGGTCTGTGGCGACGCAGATGTCTGCCAAAGCGCGCCTGCAGGCTCATATTCACAACAGTTCATCTTCACGCCAACGGTCATCGACGTCGGCGGCCCAGTCGCCGAGATCGCGCTCGGATATCAGCGCTCGTGCGCGACACTCACTGACGGCACGCTCAAGTGTTGGGGCAAGAACGACAAGGGCCAGGTGGGCGACGGGCATCCCCGACGGACACCGGCCGACGAACCGGACCTCGCCGACGTACTCACGCCGACGGACATCCCCGTCGGCGGCGCTGTTGCCGAGATCTCGCTCGGATATCAGCACACGTGCGCATCACTCACGGACGGCACGCTCAAGTGCTGGGGGGACGGCGATCATGGCCAACTGGGCGTGCCAGGGGTGTCCTTTGCAAACCTGCCTCAACCTGTGACTGCCGGGGGCACAGTCGCCCTGAAAGTCGCCAAGATCTCGCTCGGAGAACACCACACGTGCGCAACGTTTGCGGATGGCCGGTTCGAGTGCTGGGGCAGGAACACCAACGGCCAACTGGGGGACGGGACCACGAATGATGCCCGGGGGCCCACCGCAATCAAGCTGGGGTAGTCGATCGACCGGGTCAGCGCTACACTGTATGATCGAGGAGTACATTTGGGGGCACACGCGCACCCTGTTAGGAGGCCTTGCCAGCCTTGCCTGCCTGCCCTCGCCTGCCCCGTGTGCCGCCGAGTGCATGTCCGATGCGAGACGGAGATCCCGCCCCCGTTGGGGTTCCCAGCACTCCCCAGCCCCCCCCCCCCCCCCCCGCACACCGCCATATGTCTGCCCCGGCGCCGCTCGCGCCGCCTCGCCTCCTCCACCTCCGCAGCTGCTCCCTCGCCAGACACGCCGCCGCCCGCCCGCCTCCTCGACCTCCCCACGGAGCTCCTCGTGTGCGTCATCTCCCGCTGCGACCCCGCCGACATCGCCAAGAGCGCGGCTTCGAGCTGCCGGCGCAGCCGGCGGGCGAGAGCTGCGCCGTGCGGTGGCTGTGATACTCGGCGTTGCTGTGCGAGTCCAACCCGCCGGTGAAGGCGGCGGCAGGCTCCTTCCACAGCGTCTTCATCGACGGCGAGGGGCGGCTCTCGTCGTGCGGAAAGGCTGAGAACTGGATGCCAGGACTGCTCGGGCACGGCGAGGGAGTGACGCAGCTCAACACGCCGACCCGCCTCCCTTCTTTCACGCTGGGCGGCGAGCGTGCCGCGAGCGTGTCGGCTGGAGGTTTCCACAGCCTCGCCCTCGCCGCCGACGGCGCCGTCTGGAGTTGGGGCCACGGAGGCCATGGCCAGTTGGGCCACGGCGACACGCAGGACCAGCTGCTGCCGAAGGCGGTCGAGGCCTTTGCTGGCCAGCGCGTTGTCGCTGTGTCGGCTGGAGCCGCGCACAACCTCATCCTCACCGCCGACGGCGCTCTCTGGAGCTGGGGTCCAGGAGGCTTTGGCCAGCTAGGCCACGGCGACGAGCAGCACCAGCTGCTGCCGAAGCAGGTCGAGGCCTTCGCTGACCAGCGTGTCGTCGCTGTGTCGGCTGCAGCCGGCCACAGCCTCGCCATCACCGCCGACGGCGCCGTCTGGAGCTGGGGCTATGGAGTCCCTGGCAAGCTAGGCCACGGCGACCAGCAGAACCAGCAGCAGCCGAAGAAGATCGAGGCTTTGGTTGACCAGCGTGTCGTCGCAGTGTCGGCTGCAGCCGGCCATAGCCTCGCCCTCACCGCCGACGGTGCCGTGTGGAGCTGCGGCGGTGGAATCTCTGGCGTCTTGGGCCACGGCGACGAGCCGCTGCGGCAGTTGCTGCCCAAGAAGATCGAGGCTTTTACTGGCCATCGCGTCGTCGCTGCGTCGGCTGGAAGCAGCCACAGCCTCGCCACCACCGCCGATGGCACTGTCTTTACCTGGGGCCAGGGCGAGCGCGGCTGCCTAGGCCACGGAGAGGACCTGTCGAGCCAGCTGCTGCCCAAGAAGGTCGAGGCGTGGGTGCAGGGGTAGTTAGCTCTGAGTTAGCTGGAGGATCACCGCGCATCCTCTTGAGTTCACTTTGAGGGGGCCGCTCGTCAAGAAGAAAAGCCACTATTACCAACGCGCTACTCCTCACGCCGCTTTCTAAATCGTCCGTTTGCACATGCGTGGCGGCGGACCGTCTACCAATAATGGAGAACGATATGGTTTTTTACCTTTGAACGCTCTAAGGTCAAGCTCAACCGCACGGACCACAAGCGAGGGGGGCCCCGCGCGCCCGCCCGCCGCTATAGCGGGCTACAGCAGCGAGGACACCGAGGTCCTCCCAAGTGGGTGAAGTTGGACGGCTCTACATAGAGTACAAAATGTGTGCTCGCGGCAAAGCGTCCCCCATGCCGTGGCGGCGGACGACCACCCGCACACAGACACAAATACACATTCAGAGCCCGGTCCTGCGTGATGGAGAAGCTCGAGAGCTACAGAAGGCCATTCATGGACCTCGGCGACAGTAGGTAGGCGGTTTGGCGGCGCAGGGAGAGAACCAGCAGGGAAGCGAGTGTGCCTCCGGCCACGATGCCGCCGAGAGCCGCGATCGGCCGAATTGACCCAGCCGTGACGGCAGGAGAGGCGCGGGCAGAAAACGACGCTTCTCGCAAGGCTGCCGGCGTGACGCCGTCCTTGCCCGGCGGCTGCCAGCCCCACGTCGGCCGATTGGTGCGGCAATCGTGCGGCGCGGCGGTCGTGGCGGGGTGCGGCACCGCGCTGAGGTTTGTGAGACCGAGCTGGCTAAACAGCGCGAGCTCGTCGTGCGCCACAACCTCGCTCACGTACTGCCACCGGCCGCCCACCTTTTGAACGTAGCAGACGGCGATGCCGTTGTAGGCGAAGCTCTTGCCGGTGGGCGGGCCGAAGGAGGAGGGCCCGGTGTGAGTTCCGGTGAGCACGTCGGGCATCGTCGTCTTGTAGCCGTCCACGTCGTTGCCGACGCAAAAGACGTCTGTCACATGGATGCGAAGGTCGGGGAAGGCGCGGCGCGTGCGCCACACGAGCTCCTTGAGCGCCTCCATCCCGCGGTACTCCTTGCCAAAGGCGGAGACGCTCGACCAGCCCTCGTAAAAGTACTCCTCGAGCGACGCGTTGACGCGCGCCGCGCCGAGGCCGGGCCGCCACACGGCGTCGGTCGTGCGGACGACCCACTCGGCGCAGTGCTCGAGGAAGGTGGCGGGCGCGTCCTTGGTCGGCGGCTGCAGCGCCTCGTCCCCGCCCAGGAGGCAATCGTTGCTCCACGGTAGCGACTGGTCCGACGGCGTTGGCGGGGAGCCCGCTGCGCCCTCTGTACCCTCGCCCGTGGCGGCAAGCGGAGGCTCGTCGATAGGCCCGCACGGCGGCGGGACCACCGTGCGAACGAGCAGGTCGATTCCGAGCTGAGCGAAGAGGGCGGGCGTGTCGAACATGGCGTAGCCCTCCGTGGCAATGCCCCCCACCACGTGCCAGTGCAGGCCCACGCGCAGCCTCACACGCGAGCCGGTCGCCGCCTCGCCGAGGAAGCAGCCGCTGTGCGTGGCGTGCAGGTGGCCGTGCGCGGCGCAGTACGCACCCTCGCAGGAGAGGACATCGAGCTCGAAGGTGCGGCCGGAGAAGCCGCGGCGCAGCACGCCGATGAAGTGCTCGCGGTACTCGCCGCGCCCGCTCGAAAAGCCGACGCCCGACGGGCCGTAGAAGCGCATGTGCTCGTCCCAGAGCGGCCCGGCCGCGGCCGCCCCGCCCGGCTTCTCGAACCAGTCCTCGTCCAGGAGCACGCGCACCACGTCGCGGCTCAGCTCCGCCGAGGCGGGAGGCGTGAGCGGCGAGTATGGCGCCGGGATGCCGTCGATCCCCACCGGAGGAGCGAACCAGCCGTCGTCACGAACAGGTGCCACCGGCAGCACGCGGCGGCCCGCTTGGCGGAGCAGGTCGGGAAGGTCCAGCATCATCCAGTTGTACGCGATCTTGTCGCCCTTGAGCCGGTAGAAATCGCAGATGCGGATGAAGACGGTGTCGTTGGTTGGCGGCATCCCGGCCAGCGGGCCATACCAGCGGCCTTTGGCGTACGTCGTGGTGGAGGCGGTCGCGTTCTCGGCGAGGAAAATGAGCTGGTTGAAGTAGACCTGCAGGCGTGGCACGCGTATGACAGGCGGCGCAAGCGGCGTGTGACAGGCGGCGCAAGTGGCGTATGACAGGCGGCGCAAGCGGCGTGTGACAGGCGGCGCAAGCGGTCGTTATGCTCGAGAGCGGGGCAAGTTTCCCACCTGGTCGAACGCGATGTTGAAGGGAACGTGCTCTCCGTCGAACCAGTCGCGGAGGCCTGTGAAGTTGCCGATGCCGTGCACCGTGTCATACACAAAGTCCTCAGTCCAGTAATCCTTCATGATGGCACTCCACGCGTCCCAGTCGTACACAGCCACGTGGTTTGCTATCACGTCATCCATTGCGCGGATGACTCGCTTGGCCACTGGAATCGGGTAAGGCAGCGCTGCCGCGCCGACCAGCAAAACGGCAAGACCGGTCGCCATCCCCCACAGCCGCGATGCGGCCTCGTCGATGCGATGGTCGCCTTGGCGATAGTCGCTTTGATGCGATGGTCGCCTTTGTAGCCACACAAAAGAAGAAATTCTCGCGAATAGCCCCTGGGAACCGGCCACAGTGTGCCCGTGGTAGTGAGAGACTGCCGGTGAGAAGCCGGAGGAAGGTCGCTAGACTGAGATGAGACCGCGCCAGTGGAGTTGGGATTCCACCGTGCACCGCGCTCTGCGAGCCTGTCGTGCCCCTTGGAAGGAGCAGGAGAGCCCACCTGTCCCCCCTGTACGCCCTTGATCGTCCTTCCAAAATCCTGCTCGTGCAGGTGTGGACCCTGTCCTCCTCCCCTATCCCTCGTTTGGGTTGTCTGTTTTCTTTCTTTCTTTCTGCTGAAGGGGCGCCATCAGCATCGCCATCGGCAACCGCGACTTCGGGTTGGTAGCCGCCAAAGTACACAAAAATGTCAAAATCTGCCTGGGCGCGCAGTCTGGCGGGCCGCCGACCTTCACAGCTCAGAGCTCACATCTCGCTCCCGCATGCCGCCTCGGGGCCATGCCTGTACATACATGCACACAGAGAACAACAGTGGACAGAACTACTCCGAGTCTCCCGCCATCGCCTCCCGCGCCTTGGCGGTGAGCACGCGCGCTCGCTTCCCAATGAGCACGGCGGAGCCGCAGGGGCCGGTGTGCCCGAGAGGGCGGCCGCAGCCGAGCGTCCTCTTGCAGCTCAGGGCGTGCTTCTCTGGCGTCGACGGCACGCCGCCGCCGCCGCCGCCGCTCCCGCCCGCCGCCGCGGCAGCGCCGGCGCCGCTGGTCGAACGCCGGAATGGCCGCCGGGGCGATGGGGCGCCCTTGACGCTGCCGTCCCCTCCGTCCCCGGAAACGCTACCGCTGTCGCTGCTGCTGCCGCCGCCGCCGTCGCTGCTGCTGCCTGCCGCCCTGCTGGCACCGCTGCTAGTGCTGCGGCTGCCGCTGCCGCTGCTGCCGATACTGCTGCTGCGGGAGAGAGCCATGAGGGAGAGGGCTGCAACCACCTATAGGAGAATGGACGGTGGGCTGTGGACCGTGCGCTGCGTTCAGCGCCTGGCCAGAGAGTTTGTGAGAAAGTGGAGGGAGCGGCGGCAGAGGACGCGCAGACCCACCCGTGCGCGCACCCGTCTCGAGTGCTACGTTGCGATGACTTTGCGATGACTTTTGCGGCGTCTCTCGGATCTGGGGCAACCACCGGCGGCTCTGCGACGGAGAGTGCCTCGGAGGCTGCGGTTCGGCAAGCCGCCGCCTGGAGCGCCAAAAGTGCGCTGCGTTGCGTGCCGCCGCCGCCGCCGCCGCAGCCTCCGCCTCCGCCGCCGCCACCGCCGCAGCCCATCATTGCAAGGCTCGCAGCGCCGGCTTCCACCCCCGCCGCCGCGCTATTCCGCAGCGGCGGCCCACGAGCGGGCGCCTCCCGTGCCGTCCCTGCCGCCTCCGCCACCGACAGCGCACCGCCGCCACCGCCGCCGCTCTGGGCGTGCGCCTCTACAAGTAGCTCGAGCAGCAGACGCACCCGCACAAGCATCGCCTCCTTGGGGGGCGAAGAGGGAGGGGGGGGGAGGGGGGGTCGGAGACGGAGGTGTGAGAAGGGGGACGCGAGGCGAGGAGGAGTGGTGGGCGAAGGGGAGGGCGGAGTGAGCCAGGGGGAGATTGCGGGAGACGCCTGGGCGTGGGCGCTTGAAAGCGAGGCCTGCAACCGCTCGAGCGTCAGCATGAGCGTTTCGCCGGCCTGCTCCTCCTCGCGGAGCTCTTCGCACAACCGCGCCAAAGCCGACTCCGCGTTCGGCGCCCGCGACACGTGAGGGTCTTGGGGCGCCTCCGGTCTCCGCCGCTCGTTAGGCTTCGGGCGCTTGCGCATGATGGTCTTGGCCAGCGCGGGCGCATCGCGGCGGAACGACATGTGGTGCCACGTGTTGTTTGAGCCCGGGCTGATTGTGAATGAGTGCGCGTGAAGCGACCGTGAGAGAGACGGATAGCTGCAGTGGCCGAAGAACCTGGGAATGACGTCTCGAGCGAGCCGCTCGGGGTTGGTGACCCATACGTGCGTACCGTCCTCGCTCCAGCCGATGCAGTCGTGCCCGGAGGACACCAACTCGTGAAGTTTTGCGCCGAACGTGGGCACGAAAGGCATCTGGAGAGAGGCAGCTAATGACCCCACACACAGCTCCGTCCAAGATCAGATCGGTCTCGTCGTCGTTATGCTTCTCGATATCTCGTTCACAGATCGCCTGCTCCAGTCCAGTTGCGCACGTATCGGGTTGAGCGTGCGGGCCGTATACAACCCGGCGGGAGCGAGAACTGGGCGATCGGCGAGATCGACCCTGGCGGCCGAAGGGCCTCGGAGGGTGGCCCAAATAGGGGTCACATGGCCCCTCCGCATCCTACGGGCTGATTTGCTTTGGACGAACCATTCCGAGTGGTCGAATAGGGGCGATCGGGCGTGCGACGGTGCGAGCTTACGGAAGAGACTCGGATGGAGGGAATAAAGGTACTTGACACAGTAAGTCCTTAGGACTGGTAAATTGGTGTGATCGTGAAAGCTTGTCAGCCGTGCGTCTTACGCATGAGTGGGAGCTGTTTGGCGGTCGGGTGGGTGCGGGGAGCTTGGGAGGCGAGCCGGTCATGCGTGCGGAGCGCGTTCGGGTACGGTCGGTGCGGTCCTCGGCGGTCGCGGCGTTGCCCGTTCGTGCCGTTCGACCGTTCGAGCCGGTCGGTATGCGTGACGGAGCGGTCTGTGAGGGCTGGGGCCGTAGGAGCTAACGTAACGAGGCGTGTTGTTCACTGATTACAAGTGCTAGTGCGCAGCCTCTAGAGTCCTAGTCTCGTAACGAAGCTCGTATTCTTGCATCTTAGATCTTGTGCCACATACGCACATAGTGGGTGAAACTTCTGGAGACGGGGAACTAAAGCCGCAAGTCAAATGAGCTGAGGGAAGGACAAGGAGTCCAGCACCAGCATCCAGCTCAACGCAACGAGAGTTTCAGATGATCAGAGACGCGGTGAAAAAACCGCTCGGCTGTGTAAAAACCGTATGTTCAATGTTGTACTGTACAGTAAGAGACTTTGTGTTAGAAACTGCGCTTCTGGGCCAGTCAGTCAGTTTCTAACGTCGGTTACAGATAAACTGATGGTCCCGGGGAGGAATGTGATGAAGTTTTCGAGCGGCACTGAGGCGCCCACCACCCTAGTCAGGAATGTGCTGACAATGTCTGAAGTGACAGCGACCTTGATTCCTTTTGGCTGGAATGGGTGAACTCCTGGGATGCAGCGCGCGTTCTCATGGATACGGCGCACCCGCTCGTCCTCCGAGAGACGCAGCGCGTCATGCGTATTTGCCAGCTCGATCTCACGGACGGGCTCATTATCAAAAGTACTGCACCTCAGACTCGCTGTGGCGAGCGCGGCCTGATCCTTGGATGTGCGCTTTGGTGGTATTAAAGATGGAGAATCGAATGACAAACTCCTTCGCATCACAAAAACTCGAAAAACCAAAGAAAATATTAAAAAAGATCTTCTTGCGATGTCCGACGACGTCGACGATCCCCCCCGCAGCAGCCAAAAGCTGCTCCCTCGAACCGCGGCCGACTCTTGTCTACCATCGCGGCCGCAGGCCCGCAGCTGTTGAGCTCTCCAGAACGCAGAAGAATGGTGCCTCATATGCTGCCTTCTCCCTGCGGATGCTGCCGGCGAGCCTGGCGGTCCGCTGTACTACAAGGAAGTGTTGACTCGATTCTACCTCGAATTCTTCTACCCCCACGACTCGGAACGCGAATGTGACAGGACCATCGGGTCCTTCAGCCACCAAAGTGAAATCACCCGAGAGCAGCTGAGCCTGCCTCTGGCCTCGCCTCCCACCTCTCCTTCAGGCATTCGTGGCATCCTATGGGTCGTCCAGAGTATCGACCTCTGGCGAGTCAGCCAGCCCCACTTTGAGGGCGCCATGAAGTACAGAGATCGCCACCTCGCTGGCCTCTCCGCAAGGCCCCCCGACCGCGTCGAACTCATCGGCGCGGGCTCTCTCGGCTACGGGACCGGCCCCAGCTTCGGCTGAGGGCTGACAAGCTGCCGAGCCCAAATCACTGTGAGAGTCGTGATTTCTTGTTGGTTTTCTAAAACCTCTCTCGACGAGGACAGCGCGACAGGAAGGAAGAGACAAAATTGATGTTGCTAAAAATCTCTCTCGAGGACAACAGGGCAGTCTGGACACGCACGCATCACGGGGGATGTCTTTCATTGTTACCGGCTCGCCGTGGTTGCTCCGCCGCTGGACAGCCCTCTCCACCACCCTCGCCACAGGGATGTACCACTTCCAGATGAGAAAAAAGTGGAGCTCGCTTCAGATTGTCGATCAGCTTCCGTGGGCGACGGCGCCCTTCGACGACCTGTCGATCAGGCCAATGTTGCTCCTTTCGGCGCTTCAGCCGCATCGCGCGGGCACGCGCGCCGCGGCGCCGGTGCTGCAGCAAGACCGGGCCACGCAGAGGCTCGGCGTCGCCCCGCCGGGCGAGAACCCCATGGGCGGCTACCCGCCCCCTTTCCACGGCGGCCAGCAGCAGCGCGGCTTTGCACAGCAAGGGTACCCGCAGCAGGGCGGGTACGGAGGCGGCGGGCGTGGACGATACGGGGGCGACGGCGCCGCGACGCCGGCGATGGCGGCACAGGCGGCGAGGGCGGCGGAGGCGGCGGCCGCTGCCGCAGCAGCCGCGGCTGCGAGGGCGAGGGAGATGGAGTTTGAAGCCTTCCAGCAGCAGCCGGGGTACCCCCCGCAGCAGCGCGGCGCGTCGGGGTATCCCCCGCGGCAGGGCGGTGCATCGAACTACCCCCGGCAAGGCGGGTACGGCCAGCAACGAGGCAAAGCAGTCTATTTGACGGGATGCCGCCAGATGAAAGGGACGGCAGACCGCTCATTCCTTGTTGCTGTCGTGTAGGCGGATACCCGCCCCAGGGTGGCTACGGCGGCCCGCCGCGCGGCGGCGGCTTTGGCGGCCAGCAAGCCCCCCCGCGGGAGGGCGGGCAGGGGGGCTACGCCCCTCCGCGGGGCGGCTTTGGCGGCCTGGGCTTCCCGCGGCAAGGCGGGCAGGGGTACCCACCTGCCCAGGGTCAGGGCCCAGGCGGGTACCCGCGGCCAGGACAGCCCGGCGGGCTCGGCGGGCAGCAGTACGGAGGCGGCCAGTACGGCGGCAGCGGGCAGCAGTACGGGGGCGGCGGCCAGTACGGAGGCGGGCCGCAGTACGGAGGCGGGCCGCAGTACGGAGGGCAGTCCGGCTATGGCGGGCAGTCCGGCCGGGGCTACGATGGCGGCGAGGGCTTCGGCGCTGAGATGCCGATGCCCGGCCGCGAGAAGGAGTACGAGGACTGGATGAAGGGCGGCGGTGGCATGGGCGGCCCCTCCGGGCCCGCCTCCCGGCCTCCACCCATCGACGACGACCGCCGCAACCGCTCACCAGGATTGAAGAACAACTTTTACGACATCCCGACCTCGGACTTCAAGCGGCCCTGGACCGGCGCGCGCCGGTAGCTGTTGCCATCGGGCATGGTGCGGCGACAGCAGCACACCCATCGCTGGCAGCGATGGAGAAGGGTGTGGCGGGCGGGCGGCGCGGTGAGGGAGCTTCGAGCCGACTTGCAAGAACGACCTTGGCTTCAAATCGCGGTGCGCCCTCGTGTAAAACGCGTGCTTGTGTCATGTGTGTGTATTCTCCTCTGGCTGGGCGGTGGGGGTGGCGTGCGGACGCGCCAGTCATGGAAATCAACCATATCTCGATAACTCATGAAAGTAGGCGCAATGCATCGGGCTCGGGGACTAGGTCCTCTCCAGCCTCTGCGGGTGGCGGATGTTGATGACACATTTGGCGATTCCGCGGCTTACTGGGCCCCTGAGCCGCTACCCGTGTGCGATTTTTGTGGCCCGGACATGATACTGATAGTAAACGGGTCAGAACCGGCCAAACACAGGCTACAGCCCCACACACGCGCCCGCCATAGCTCCTGGAGAGCATGCGCGAGTGACGCGCTACAAGCCGCGAGAGTGGCATCAGAGGCAGGAACGACGTGCTCTTGCTGCACCTCGCAGCTGCACCGAGTGTGCTCGCAGTGTATGCCACGGCCACTGCCTGCGGCATTGCTCCCGTGCAGCTAGGCGATGCAGGTCCATCAGCAGGGCTCATCCAATGCGAGCGCACATTGTGCGTAGCCGCGGGCAGGTGGCAGTGCACGGCCGCACACCGGCTGTGGCGGCTCGTATGCCCCCGGCAGTGCTGCTAGTCATCAACTGGCGTATTAGGGCCGCAGCAGACTGCTGCTGTGGCAGCAGCAGCAGCCTGCTGCTGCCTGATTCAGTCAAGCCAGCGGTGCAGCGAGGCGTGCAGAATTCGCGCGGTTTTGTCCCTCCTGAGGCTGAGCGCATTCGAGCGAATCGAGCCCATCGACCGGAGTTGGATGGTACCCCGCGTCTCACTGAGACGCGGGGTACTGGCCATGGCCGGACTACGGAGCGTGAGGTGGCGAGCGGAGCGAGCGACAAAACAACGAGAAAAACACCGATGTGACGATGTCAAACGTCAGATCTGCGCCACCCAGGGCTGGACCTAGTCGGGCGCCCAGTTGATTGCGCTTACTTTCATGAGAGAGAGAGAGCGCGTCGACAAGCACAAGAATCAAGATAGTTATCGAAATATGGTTGATCAAAGTTGTGACACCGTCACAAAAGTGATGCACGTATTGGGAGCGAGACTGTCTCCCAAATCTTCGTCGATACTTCAGCCACGAAATCTCAGTCTTCCCGTCGCTCGGTGTGAGTTTCTAGAGGAAGCGCGTGAGATCTCAAGTGGCCAAGATTTTCCTCGTTTCGCTTTGGGAGTTTGAGATTTCGATGAGGGGTGGAGGAGAGACTGAGACTGCAAGCAAGAGTCGATCGATTCGATTCCAAGGCGGGCGGTGACCAGGCGGTGACACCGGTATACACAGCGGCAGCCCTCTTGAGAATCGTGCTTTTGGGGTGATTTTCGAAGGGCGTAGGGCGAGGTCTCGGCCGCCGCTCACGCCAGCGAGTCCCCGTTGCCCAACCCCTCAGGGGTGAAACCCACCGCTCTTTATACTCGTTTATTCACGAGGCGACCCCAGGGAACCGTGGGCAGGTTCCCTAGGGGCGTGCTGTGAACAAACAGCGAAGAAGACGCCTGGAGGTGAAACCCAACACGGTCTCGGTTGTGGGGCACCTGGGTTGTGCCCAACGAGTCCTCGTTCCAGTCGCCCGGTCCCGAGCCCGGTGTGCACCGCAGCGTGACCACGCTCGTCGCCACCCTTTCGGTCTCTTGCGCGTGAGCGGAGCGACGCCGCCCAGCGCGGTTCGCTGTGAGCCACACTCTCGACCGCGCCACACTCTCGGCAGCGAGCTCGCAAGTGCCACATGGGTGCAGCCGCCGGGCCAAAGATCGCTCTCTTCACCACCTACACCAGCGACTACCAGGCCGGACCGCTCTGCAGCCGCGTCAACCAAGCTTACGCCACGCGGCACGGATACGGCTGGGTCGAGGCCGTGGGCGATCCGCGCCGCAGAGCCGCCGGCCACGACCCGCCGGCTCGTCACCCCACCTGGGACAAGGTCTCGCTGCTGCTCGAGCTGCTCGATGGGCTTTTGGCGGGCGCCTCGCCGCGCGGCCTCTCGCCGGCGACGACACACCTCTTGTGGATCGACGCGGACGCCGTTGTCCTGCGGCACGAGCGGCGGTTGGAGGAGCTTCTCGACTCGCTCCCAGCAGGCGCGCCCACGACGCCCTTCTCCCTGCAGCTGCTTTGACCCGCCGGCCCCGCCCCCCTCCGCCTGGCGACTCGCCTCCCGCTGATCAAGTAGCCGGCTCTGGACGCCTCTCTCCGTGCCAGAGCCGGAGGATACCTCAGCGCACAAGCCTCGCGTCGCGTGAGCAGTGCGCCGCGGCCCGGACGCACCGGCGCGGGTGCTTTATACGCGCGTCCACATCCGTCAACGTCGCTTCTCCCGCTCCCTTCGCCGCGCGGGCCCGGATGCCATCCCCTCTCGCGCCGACCCCGAGCCTCCCGGAACCTTCCCGGAACCTTCCCGCAGACGTCGAGCTCCTAATCGGCGAAGACCTCACGCTCGCCTGCCTAGAAGCGGAATACGCATTCTTGGACTCCAACCAGCGCTCGGGAGGAGACGCGTTCAGCTGTGATCGACCGTGTTCAGCCGCATTCCCTGTATTCGCGTCGCTCGTATTCACACGGTGCTGGTGCTCGGATACACTTCACGACACCGTTGTCCCGCCCTGACGTTGGCGTATTCAGCACGTAGGCTCGCCTGCGCGCTCAACGCCGGCGTGTGGCTCGTGCGCGTGTCCGAGTGGGCGCGCTCGCTGTGGCGCGACGTCTGGGCCGCCGACGCGTCGCGCCGCTTCTGGCAGAGGCCCCACCACGAGCAGTCTTGCCTGCTGCACCAGCTGGCTCTCCGCGGGCAGCCGCTCAAGCAGGCCTGCCCCTTCCACTCCTTTGCGGGAGGCCAGCTCCTCAAGCTCTCGCAGCGCGTCGCCGTCCTGCCGCGGCACGCCTTCAACACCAACCGCGGCGACGTGCGCCCGCACGGCCCGCATCGCGCCGCCCCCGCCCTCGGCGCCGCGCGCGAGGCTTGGCCGCCGTGGCGCGGCCAGCCCCTGCCCGCCCTCCCCCCCGCGGGAGAGCTCGTGCAGGCGGGCGGGCGCGGCATGGCGGGCGCGGCGGATGCGCGCTGCGAGTTTGTCTTCCACGCGGCCGGCCGGCCGGCGGTCCTCGGCGCCGCGCCGGGCAAGCTCGAGGCGCTGCGCGCCATGCTCACGCACGCCGGCCTCGGCGGGTTCCTGAGGCACGGAGCGGCCGGCGCTGGCGAGGCCCCGGCGGCCGCCGACGGAGGGGCAGGCGGCGGGGAGGAGTCGCGCTTGTTCGGGTCCCTCGCACTCCTCGATTCGCTCATCGTCGCCACGCGCAACGGGGCGCTGCTTTTGAAGACGTGTGAGGCGGGGTAGCGGCATGGGTAGCGGACGAAGAGCTGCACTGTAATATAAATAAATAGATGCAGACGGACCCATGCGCCGATTCCTGCATTCGTCTGGTGTGCCGGCCTGCGAAGTGCGATGCCAGCCTGGGCGTGCACCCGCTGCACCGTGCACACGTCGACTCGTGGCTTCGTGTATCAACACGAGCAGACACCATATTCCCGATCCCCACACGCCTTGGCTTCGGTGTTTTCTGGCTCTGCGGCGAGATACGGCTCTACACACGTACACGTGGTCGGTCACAAAGGAACAATACGTATATTTGAACAAAAAGGAGCACTGACGGAGTCCGCAGGAGCAGCAGGCAGCACCGCAGGTTTGAGTTCTACACCACGTACGGTACGCGTATAGCTCGACCGCAAAGCGTGCCGGCCGAATGAATTACGCCGGCCACACGGGAACACCATGATTCATCTACTCACTGTGGGTGGCCCACTCGCAACAACTGTGTCGCCATCAACATGCACTGTTCCGCAGTGAGTGAGTGCTTCCTCTACGTCTGCGCGTGATGCGCCGACCAGCAGCGCCCCCATCTTTGTAACCAGCTCGCCACCTTCACCGCCGCCCTCACTGCCGCCAGCTCCACCGGCAACCTCAGAAGCAGCCTCGCCGCCGGCCCCACTGTTAGCGGCGGTAGCGGCGGCGGCGGCAATGGCGGTGCCGATGGCCTCGCCGCTGCCAGCCTCGCCGCCCGCGGCTGCCAAAAGGCGCTCGATCCAACGCCGCGCCTCGGGGAGTGAGCGCGTAGCCACCGCCTCCCGGAGCAAATCGCGCGCGCGACAGAGTTCGGTCCGCAGGATGGCAAGGGTGGAGGCGGTGACCATGCCTCCGAGGTCTCTGGTCGGCTCGAGCGGGTCCTCAATCGCAAAGTGCTGCGCTGCCCGCGGGTCGAAGCATGGGCAAGAGGAGAGCGGCTGCAGCCCTCCGGCGGAGACGCACGCAGCGAGGGCCAGGCCAGCCGGCGATCGGTCCGACAGCAGCTGCAACGCGGTGTCGAAGAAGTTGGTGAGCAGCAGCGGGAGTCTCGGCGCGGGTAACGGGGCCGCCTTCCAAAACTTGCGCGCGGCGGCGGCGTTTCCGCAAAAGGAGTAGCTCACGGCACGGCCATCGGGCGTCCGCGCGGTGTTCGCGACCAAAGCCCACGGAGGAGCCAGCCCTTGGAGGTTGGGCAGCTGCCCGAGGTGCTGCAGGTGGCAGATGGCGAGAAGCGACCACGCGTAGCTCGACGGGAAGCAGTGCCGCGCCGAGCATACCCGCCGCGCCCTTGCCCACGCCTTGACCAGCAGGCAGAGCTGCCACGCACACTCGTCCACCTCCATGTACGTGCGAATCAGCCGCGTGTTGTCGAGGGCGATGACGTTCCCGACCGAGACGTCGACAACAAGATCCGAGGTGAGGACCAGCGGCGCTCCCGCAGGCGAGGACCAGTCGCTCGGGAAGGTCATTGTGCAGATCGGGACTCGCGCGGCGAGCACCGCCGTCGCCGTGACGCCTGGCACTGAGCCAAACGCGTCCGCAATGTCCGACAACAAGCGGCGCTGCAGCTCCGGCGGCAGCTCGAGCAGCACTGTCAAGTCGATGTCAGATGCGGAGCTGCCGAGCAGCGATGTGGCACTCCCGTAGGCGAGGACCAGCGGCGCTGGACTGTGTAGCCGCGCCGCATTTTGCGCCACCAGCTGCGGCGGCGCCGAGGCGAGCCACGAGCGGCAGAAATGGTCTAGCTGCGGGACGGTGCGCGAGAAGATCTTGTCGCGGCGGTCTCTCGCGTACCCACTCGGAGGCTCAAGCCTCGCGCGCGCCTCAAGCGCCCTGCCACACCAGATCGGAGTCCGCTGGCCGGCGGCGGCCTCCGTCGCACTACTCGACCCGTGCGCGCCGTCCTCCATGCGCTTGATCGCAACCACCGCGCCGCCCGCCGCGCGCAGATTGCGCATCCCCTGCTCGCGCAGCTGCTGGGCCTGCGCACCGGGGCGGGGAGCGGGTGGGGAGCGGGCGGGGAGCGGCGAGGCGGCGTGGCGCTATGGCGGCCTTCTCCGCCAGCTTGGCGGCCTTCCTCTCCGCCTTGCTCGACGGCTTTTTCTTTCCCGCCGTTGTGCCTGTGGCGGCGGTCGAATCCGCCGCCCGCTCGTCCAGCCTTCCGCTCTCCTCGAGCGCCGCCACAGGCACCACCCTGACGCCGCCACAGGCACCGGACGCAGCTGGATGGAAGTGACGACGAGAGCGGGGACGACTTTGACAGCGTCGCGGCGCGGTGTAAATTCGACTGGCCTGCAGCATCGAATGAGCCGAAACGAGGCACGAGGGCGACGCACTTCGTACGCTACGAGGAGATACAATTAGGCAAGGCAGCTGCGCAGGTGATGGTCCTGTTTGCAGAGAGGGGAGTCAAGGAAGGCCAAGAAATCACATGGTCATATGGGGACTCATACAGGAGCCACCGCAAGAAGATGGGATACAGGGCGGGGACCAGGGCGGATCCGAACGCAATAACACCCCAGCAAGCGCGGACGGCATTCGCGAGATACTGCAAAAAGATAGACGTGACGAAGGAGGAGCTAGCGTGGAACTTTGGATGCATATCGGCAAGCCAAAATAACGAGCAGGAGGCTGTCCTGGTGCGTGAGCTAATCCTGAGCAACAATAAGCGACTGTACCACGGAGCACAGAGCGCAGCAGACAGGACGGCAGCGACGGCGGACATGGCAGAGACGAGTGTGAAACAAAGGGCGGCGGGCATGGAGGGCGGTAGCGACGGGGACGGAGACGGTGACGGTGGCGAGGGAGAGGAAGGGGGTCCATTAACACCAGACAGCGAGAGGGGCAGGGAGGAAAGGGGGAGAGAGGAAGCCAACGCGACGTGCGCAGAGGATGAGGATATAAACTGGGACGACGCAGCGGAGGGGATAGGCGAGGGAATCGAAGGACCGGAGGGCTTTCGCGACAGCGACGATGACGACGAAGAAAGGGGAGGGGACGGAGGGGCGACACGCAGGAGGAGCGAAATCGCTAACGGCCCGAGCAGAGAGGGCGACGGCGGGGCACGAGGGAACAACGGAGACGCTACCGATGACGCGAACCGAGGCACGGACGCCGGCGGGGACGGGGAGGGCGACAGCGACGTCGAGAGGTTGACGCAACCGTATCGAGAGCGCCACCCAAAAAGGGGCGGACAGCCATGGAGGTCACCGAATGGAGGGCGAACGGCACGATGCGAAAAGGCAGGGCGAGGCGGATGGAGAAAGAAGTGCCGAGAAGGCCGTGGTGGAGGGGAGGGACGGGAGGACGAAAGAAGGGCGAGGAGGACGAGCGGCCCGCACAGACCGCGAGCAGACAGCGCCTGCTGGCCATTTCGAGACATTCGCCAAGAACGCTAGCTACATGGGAGGGCTTCGTGAAGGATGGATTGAAAAACATTCGAACAAAGAAGAGGCGACGGGAGGAACCGGCGGAGGATGCAGTGACGTGAGACACACACACACACACACACACACACACACACACACACACACACACACACACACACACACACACACACACACACACACCGCTCACCCACGCGCACTGGGCCTTGCACTTTGAATGCCGTGGGGCTCCTGTCGTCAGACGTGGAGACGCGAGGGTTGCCCCCCCTTGCCCCACCACCTCGTGTGTGTGGAGAAGTTTACCTTACCTTACCTTACCTTCACGGATATATCCATCATCCCTTCACGGCCTTGTCGAAGCCGGAAGGGCCGTGTGCACGCGCCTCCCTCCCGCTCGGCTGCCCGCAATGATCGCCGACATCGAGCTGCTTCCTGATGCCAGCAACGAGCTGAAGCAGGCCATCAAAACAGCCGTCTCAGGCACGGGCCTTTCCCACACCGTGCATGCCCACGGAGCAACGGTGAAGGGGCAGGCAGAGGCCGTGTGGACTGCGGCGCGCGCTGCGTTCGACGCATGCATCGCCGCCGGTGCATCCACGGAGACGGTGCTCCTCAAGATGCGCTGCGGCGATGGTGAAAATGGAGCAGCCGCCTCGGCAGTCAAAACCACCGCCTCCGCTGCCGCCACAGCAATGGTCCCGCAGCGCCCAAGCCCATTCGGCAGCGGTGTGCGCAAGCTCCAAGTCGTCGACTGCCACTGCGGTGGCGAACCGGCGCGCGTCATCGTCGGTGGCATGCCGCACGTCCACGGCGCTTCCATGGTGGAGGTGCGGCAGCGCTTTGCAAAGGCGCGGGACAGCCGAGATCTAGCCGAGGTGCCGCCGAGATGTGGGAGCGCTCAGCAGAGGCGTCACCCTCGTGCACGCCCCACGAGCAGCGCCCGCTGCTCACGCCGCGCGGTGTGCGGTAGGACTTCGACCACTACCGCGCTCTCTTGCTGCACGAGCCGCGCGGCTACCCGTGTCAGAACGCCGACTTTGTCCTGCCTGCGTCCCTAGATGCGGGAATGCAGCTCCGAGCACTCCGACGAGCACGCGAGAGGACGCGCATTCCACTGTGGCCCGCTAGATTCCGCTGCATTCCGCCGCGTTTGCTCTACTCGTGTTCTCTCGGTGAGTACACGGCACGAGGCCGTGTTCCCGCCCTGGCTCTGGCGTTCGGCAGTGGCTCTAGTGGAGAGGCGTTCTCTGCAGTGACTCTATGGCAGTACCTCTGGCGTCCGGCAGAGACTCTCGCGTCCGGCAGTGACTCTGGCGCCCTCCCGCTGCAGGCCTCCGACACGGCCAGAGGCGGCGTTCGGCGTGGTGGTGGCGGAGCAGGGGAAGATCTACCCTGCCATGTCGGGCCACAACGTGATCTGCGTCGCCACTGCCCTCCTCGAGACTGGGATGGTCCCGATCGAGAGAGGCTCTGCCACCACGACCTTCCACCTCGACCTGCCGGCCCCGAGCTCCTAGATGCGAGATCACACGAGATCACACGAGATCACACGAGATCACACGACCTCTCACCTCGACCTGCCGCCCCCGAGCTCCTAGATGCGAGATCACACGAGATCACACGAGATCACACGAGATCACACGAGATCACACGACCTCTCACCTCGACCTGCCGGCCCCGAGCTCCTAGATGCGGGAGAAGAGCACCCCAATGTCTCTCCCGCTCTCCCCCTCCCTCCTCTCCACTGCCTCTCCTCTCCACTGCCTCTCCTCTCCACTGCCTCTCCTCTCCACTGCCTCTCCTCTCCACTGCCTCTCCTCTCCACTGCCTCTCCTCGGCGTACTGCCTCCCCTCACTGCTGCCCCTCAATTAGCACTCGACTCGGCGGTCTTGCACCGCTGTCGCGCGATGCTCTGAAGACACAGCACGAGACTGCACTCCCACCCCCAGCTCCCCTGCATCCACATCCATGTCCATGCACCAGGCTGGGCTGGTGCAAGTCAAGGCGCAGTGCGAGCACGGCAAGGCGACGCAGGTCGAGCTGCGCAACGCGCCCGCCTTCTGCCGCCCTTGCGACATGGGCGTCGAAGTCGACGTGCCGCTCGGCGTGGGCAAGGTGACCGTCGACATTGCGTACGGCGGCATGTTTTACGTCATCGTCGACGCCGCTTCGGCCTGCGCTCCTCGCTGCCGTGCCACCCGGCCACCGCGCGTGCCTCGCCTCACACCCGGCTGCTCGGGGTGCTCTCCAGGTGGGGCTGGTGCTCGAGCCGCAAAACGGGCGCGAGATTTGCAGGATCGGCGCCGCCTCCTCCCGCCGCCCCTCCCCCCTTCCCGCGCCCTTCCCGCGCCCTTCCCGCGCCCCCGCCCCTGCCTCCTCACCTCCTGTCGGCACCGGAGGCGCAGGCTCGGAGAGATGATCAAGGTCGCAGCTCGAGAGCAGCACCCGGCACGCCGATAAGGGGGAGAGGGGGGGGGGGTAGGGCTGCACGGAGGAGCGGATGCCTCCCCCTGCTCACGCACAAAGCAGCAGCGTTTGAGGCAGCCCTGGCGGCCGCGCGAACCACGATACCCCCCCGCCCCCCCTTGTGTGCCTCTCCGCTTGAGACGCGCCCGAGAGGAGAGGCGGCCCTCTCTCCCGCCGTCGTAGTCGCAGTCGATGTAGCGGTCGTCGTAATGGCGGCAGTAGTGCTAGTTATGGCCGCTGAGCCAATCCAGGGCACGCTTACACACACCAGACGCAACCCCGTAGGTCACCCACCCCGAGATCGACTACCCCGGCCCAGACATCCTCGCCTTCCGCGACCCCGCCGTCCGGCTTCCGGGAGGAGGCCTCGCCGCGCGCAATGCCGTCGTCATGTCCAACGGCAGACCGCCCCAGCGCGCGCTGCAACCCGGACACCGCTGCCCGGAGCCGCGCACGCGACCGCGTCGCCCGCGCGCCGCTCCGGCGAGCTGCGTACCTTCCCTTCCCTCCCTCTGCCTTGCCTCAGGCGAGCTGCGGTGGGACGACCCGGCGACGCACACCGGCATGCTCGACCGGTCTCCCTGCGGCACCGGCACGTGCGCCATCATGGCCGCGCTGCATGCGCGCGGCGAGCTGCGGGTCGGCGAGCCTTTCGAGCACTCGTCCATCCTCGGCACCAAATTCATCGGCCGGCTGCACGAGGAGGTTGTGGTGGGGGGCGGGGGAACCGAGCCGGTGCGGGCGGTGGTGCCGACCATCTCGGGGCGGGCGTGGATCACGCAGCACGCGACGGTGGTCTGCGACCCTTCCGACCCCTTCCCAGAGGGCTACAAGGTTGGCGACATCTGGTAGTCAGCGGTCAGCCCACCCAATCCTCGTGGCACCGCCCCTGCCGGGAGGGTCAAATAAGCTTAGGTTTGCGTAGATCGGATCGGATTCACATTCAGTGCGGGCTCTCAATACATTTCCAGCAAGGTTATATTGTTCGATTTAAAGAACTCATCAAACAGACACTCCGACACCGCAAAAAAATGTAATCGTTGTAATTTTATGACGATAACACGTGTTGTGTGTTGAAGTGTCAAGTGAGGGCATTGGACAAATGGAAAAAATATGAACGCACGACACTGCGGGGTGGACGGCGCACGCACACACAACCTCTTGTTTTCAGATCGTCTGATGGACTTCCGCATTCCGCGCGGTCTCCCTCTGTCACGCTCAGAGGGCGGCGCCACCAAAGGTGGCGGCGGCGAACGAGGAGCGGCGAAGCTTAGCGCACGATCGCTCTGCCCTGTGGCGAAGTTTGGCCGCAAAGCTCGCAGCCTTCAGGCCGACGCGCGCGGTGGACAGGGCCTCGCCACCTGCCGACTCGATGAGTATCTTCTTCATGTGCTCGACAGCCTTTTGCAGCTCCCCTTGCGGGACGACAGAGCTGGAGATGGTGATGCACATGCGGCCGTCGACGCAAACGCAACAGACGAGGAAGTAGGTCGCCACGCTGTAGGTTGGCGCCCAGTGGTACGTCACGCCGCCAGCGCCCTCGTGCATCGAGCGTAGCCCGTAATTGTTGAACCAGAAGATCTTGCGCGGGTTAGCGCGATACCCAGACATGCCGTAGACAGTCTGGTTGATGAAGCTCCACGCCGCGTTGCCGGAGAAGCTCTCGATGTGCTCGATCAGGCCGGTATAGAATTTGGACGCCCACGACTCGCTGCTCAGCTCGTCGAGCGTCGGACGGGTGCCGAGGCCAATCAGCCAGTTCCCGCACACGTTGCGCTCAACCTTTGGCATGTAGTAGCGGCTCTGGCAGCTGACCTGCGTGAGGAGGATCGGCCGCTCGACCTGGTACTTTTTCGGAACGCTCTTCGCAGCTTCCGCGCTGGTCGTCATGAGGTGAGCAAACGGCTTCAGCTTCCTCGCCTTGAGTGCAGCGGTCATCTTTGCTGTCTCCTCGAGGCTGAGCGACTCGATGACTGAGCAGCACTCGGGACTGGCGCACCCGAATGCGTCGAAGAGCTCACGCGAGAGAAGCCACCGGCCGTACTGCACCGCCATCGTGTAGCTGGTCCCGACCGCGCAGCGCAGCGCCGGCAGCGCGCCAAGCTTCTTCTTGAGCTCCTCGTTCTCGGTGTCGAGCCGCAGGTCGAGCTCGGGAGAGCCCACTGTAGGCCGGACAAGCGGCGCCTCGCCGTCGTAGTACGTGGCGACGAAGCCCTTGATGAGGTTGAAGCAGGAGGTGCCATCGAAATCGCGAAAGTTCGTGTATCCGACGACGAAGGTCTTTGACGGCGCAGTCAGCACATGCACGTAGTGGACCTTGGCCGTGGACGCCAGGTCCGTCATGCGGTACTTGTGCCACACCTCTGGCTTCATCACCGTGTCGGGGATGGTAGTGACTAGGATCCGTGCCTCTTCCTCGGCAAAGCCGTTGCGCACGCGGAAGGCATCGAACGCCTGCTTGGCCTTGGCCTCGTCCCACGGCTTGGGGAGCTCAGTGACGTTGCAGACGTCGACGAGAGAGAAGAGCTTCCGAATGATGCGGTTACTGAGAGGCAGGGTCGTGCTAGCGGCGAGGCCATGCGCGCCGCCGTGGTACGTGTAGGCGATGAACCAGGTCCACAAGTTAAGGAAGAGGGACACGCAAAAGCGACGATGCCAAGTGGGACCCACATCAAAAGGCTGTGGCGTTCAGGATGGGTCCGGAGTTCGTGCAGGGCAGCCACTGGTACTTGCGCGGTGGGTGTGGCGGGTACGGGCAGTCCCCCTTGCCGTGCACGGCGTCCCACTCGGCGCGCCACATCGGCAGTTTGCCGGCGCTGTCCTTCGCGCTGTCGGCCACTTCATGGGCTCTTGGAAACTGACGTTCGTGCTGGCGGCAGAGCATCGGCCGTTGCGGAGCGAGGGGCGGCGCTGGGTGATGGGCATGTCTGAGCGCGTCGTCGAGCTGGGTGACGGGCTTCCCTTGTCCAGCTGGGTGATGGGCTTCCCTTGTCTGGACGCGTTTCGACGACCGTCTTGGTAAGGGCGAGGCCGGTATGACTCCTTGATGGAAAGGGTCTGTTTACGACCTTTAACGATTTCGCCCGCCGAAGTTGTAGGCAGACTCGCCCGGCGCCGTCACACCCGTCCCAAGGAAATCCCAGGCGCGGCTGTGGCAGGATGGACGCCCTTTTGCCAAGGAAGGAAAGGTCCAGCCCAGCTGTCCTTCCTCCTGTCCAGCCACTCCAGCCGTTCGTAGATAGAGTCATTCATACACACAGAGAGAGAAACCGACACACCGACGCGCGTCGGAGGATTGTGTGTGGTCCGCGGGTGAAGAGCAACAAAATAAAACCTGGTTTGTGGACCTCCCGCACCTTACCCTTACAGGCCACCATAAGGGACCCCGTTGTCCGTTTGACATCAGACTTTTTTTGAGTTGGAGGTAATAATTAAAAGGATTGCACTGTCCCAAAGAACTGATTCATTCATTTCACCCTCACATAGTTACAATACCTCAAAGTTGAAAACCTCCAAAATAGGCCGTCAGGACTCTGTCAGGACTCCGTCAGGACTCTGTCAGGACTCTGTCAGGACTCTGTCAGGACTCCGCCAGGACTCCGCCAGGACAACCACTGCCCCCCCGCTGTGAACAGAGCCCTTAGCTAGAGAGTAGGGAGGGGTGTACAGTCGAGTTACTCCCGAGGGCAGGGACGGCCCTCCACTGAGGGAAAGGGCGCAACGGGGACGGTATGCTCACAACCCAGCCACGCAGCTCTTTGCTCGCGTACAGCCAACGAGTTTGCTGGTCCACAGGCAGTCCAGGCCGTGAGCGTGGGCCGGTCGGGCCTGATCCTGCGGTGAGCACTGGAGGGCTATGCGGCTCGCTCCGTCAGCCGACTTGCGCCGTCGAGCGGTCGAGCGCTTCGGGTTGGACCCGCGGGAGGGTCCCTGCGCGGCTGACATGGCCAGCCAAGCCGTGTGCGCTGCCGTGGGCGCTGTCGTGGGTGCTGCCGTGGGCGCTGCTGTGGGCGCTGCCGTGGGCGCTGCCTCGGTCAGCAGTCGGTCAGCCTCTGCCGTGGGCGCTGCCGTCCGCGCTGCTCGGCGCTGGCTTGCTGGCCGCCGGTGGCAAACCAGGGGCGCGCGGGCCATGGACGTCGTGGCCGAGCTTTGCTGCCTTCTTGCACGTTGCCGGCTGTAACGTTGCCTGCACCATGGCCGCGCCTCTCTTGCTTGTGCGCTTTTCATGGCCGAGTGGCGCGAGAGTGAGCGTGATTTCTTTGTCTGTCAGGACTCTAAGTTTCTGTCAGGACTCTCAAGTTTCTGTCAGGACTCTCAAGTTTGCTTGTCAGGACTCTCAAGTTTGCGTCAGGACTGCCCCATCAGGACGATTCCGCAGAGGGCGCGCACGGTCGAAAGGGGGGCTGGGCGTCTATCATTCACTGCTGGGGGGGAGGGGAAGGAGGGTTGCAGTGAAGGAAGGTGGAGGTCTCGTCGGAGGCACTTGTGAGCACTGTGAAGACCGTGCGCCGTCAGGACCCCGCCAGGACTCTGTCAGGACTCTGTCAGGACTCTGTCAGGACTCTGTCAGGACTCTGTCAGGACTGTCAGGACAGGTGCGGGAGGTCCACAAACCAGGTTATAAATCATTGCCTCGATCCTCACCGCAACCTTTAGATTCACGGAAAACGAAAAAACCCCGCACACACCCGCACACATGTGTATTCGTACAGCTGTAGCCCGTGCGGCCGACGTGTCCCGCTGATCCCCGAGGTCCCATGGCCGCCTTCCATGCTCGACACGTCCGCCCGCCATCAAGTTGTACGTTGAGTGGCAAAATGCAGCAGGAGCTTAGTTGACCCTGCTCGAAGGCCGCCCTGCTCTAAGGCCGCCCTGCTCTCGGCATTGCGTTGTTGACTGATTAGCACTGTCTGATCCAACCAGAAAGAGCCGCCGAAGAGCCGTCGAGCTACATGAGACCCAAGCAAGTCGTCGTGATGTACCAGAAAACGAAACTAGCGCCAAAATTGAGATCTCAGGATCGACATTAATTTCTCGCGCCTACTTTCGCTGCTTGAGACTCACGGACGGGGGCAGTTGGAGTTGCGGGCCTCCTATTGGTTGTGCTCTCCTGTAGGTCTCCACTTCTCCTGCTCCTGACAAAAGCGAAAATAGGATAAAAATTGACGGCGACACACGGTGGACTCCCTACTCCACTCTCGACTAGCGATCTCTCTCGACTAGCGACGCGCGACACAATGAAGTACAGTACGGCTTTAGGAGTGGGCCAATGCCGCTACCGGGAACATCAAAATGGGGGCGGCCACACACGCTAAAATGTGACGTTCACATTTTCATCATCCTTATTCACAGTGACCCTCTACTTTCCTAGGCGATGTCGGTCGCACGCACCGGCGCAGCGACCTTGGGGTTTACCAAAACAATTTCGTAGCAGCAGAGCGACGCCTTGAGGCCAAGGCTCTGGAGCTCCGGATGGACATGGCGGTCCGGATATCCGCCGGGGTTCTCGTGGAGATAGGAGAGTCGGAAGCCATGGACGTCGACGAGCGTGTCATAGAAGGAGGAGAACAGGGCGAGGCCATGTTCGCCGCGCATGAGCAGAGATTCTACAACGTGCACCTCCAGAATGATGAGCGAGAAGCGAGAAAGCAGGCGTGGATCGGAGCGCGCAGCGAAATCGATGGCCTCCCATTCGCAGCCCTCACAATCGACCTTGAGGATGAGATTTGCCTCATCGTTGCGCACGAATCGGCGCACGATTGTAGGCAAGTCGAGAAGTCTGTCGACGGCCACCGCACCATAGCTCGACCGGTTCACCCCTTGCTGTTGGTTAGGGTTGCCGCCCGCCAAGCCGTGAAAGTGGAAGGCGAGGCTTCCTTTGCTGCCGTGCGAGGCTAAGCGCTTCTCCAGCTTGATGGCCCCCCGTTCGTGACTTTCACGCCTGCGGATAGTTGGATCGAATGCCAGAACCTCGCAGCCATGCTGCGCCAGAGCCTCCTCAAACGACCACTGACCGGCAATGCCGAAGGAGAGAAGAGTGCATCGCGGTGGAATGTGAGCAACGCAAACGATAGGCTCGTCCGATCGAATATTCTTTGCGCCAATAGAAAGCGTGCCGCCGGCAGGACACTTGCCGACCGCAGGCTCGAAGTTGCAGCAGTGGTTCGGCCGCTCAAAGGCGGTGAAGTCCCCCGCGATCCAGTAACGTTGCTCCTCTTCCGCGCACGGTACGGTGGGCGTGGAGTAGAAGCCGCCGCCAAAGGACGACCTCCCACTCAACGGCACCTGCTCGCCGCGGAGGGCCGATGCCGTGTTCGCCGCATTGAGCGCCCCCACTGCCGCCTTCACACCGGGAGAAACGCAATCTCGGCCCGCAAGGAGCTGCACGAACGAGCGCGGAATGGTGTCTGGCGTTCTCGAGAGAGACCTTGCCGTTGCCATGGCGGGCCCGGGTGCATTTGGGTCACGCCAGCTCACCCAAGGTCCCTTGCTGAAGAGCGGAGGCGTGCCATAGGTGGTGGCCCAGCGCGTCTGCAGAAAGGGCGGTTGCGGCGTGGAGGAATCCCGAAGTATTTCGACGTCGTCCATGATAGACGTTTGCACGGATTTGCGCAGTGCACCTTGCATGTGATGCACCAAGTAATCGCACAGAGAGAAGGGCGATATCGCCGCTTTTGGGGAGGTAGAGGTGTCATCGGAACGGCCGGCCGGAAAAAAGTTGAAGTGCGGATAGCGCGAGCACGCTTCCTCTGCGCGCGCGCGGTCGCCATGGGCATCATGTCCCGAGGACATGTACATGTCGTTTCTTCTGCCCGGCCTGTCCGGCCTGCCGTGCGAGAAGAAGCCGTGCCGGAGCCCTTGTCCTAGCGGCAGTCCGGCGCGAAGAGATGGGGTGCCAGGCAGTGCGCCGCCACGCGTGACGTTGACACCCCACACGAACCTGCGCGCCTCATCGCCACTTAGGTCTGCGTGCAGTAGCAGCGAGTACACGAAGATGTCATTAAAGTACGTGTTGTGGGCCAGCCAATCATACGAGCACGTCCGCTTGCGCACGCCTTCTTGGAGGCAGTGACGCACGAGCCAGTTCATACGAAATCGATAGTACTCTGTGGCGACCGCCACAAAGATGCGCGTCACATGTGACACGTGCAGCACGAAAATGCCCGACTCGATGCGCCACTGACCGTCCGCCACGACGTCCGTTGCGGGCTGGTGCTTCGCAAACGCCGTCTGATGGCTGGAGTGGCGAAACGGTATGTAGCTGACATCTCGCTTGCGCGCCCATTTGGCGAAGCGGTGGTCGAGAGGGCGCACTGTACTCACGTCTATGTCCACCCACACGACGAGCGTGCCGTCAGGCGAGTGCGAGACGGCGTGGTGGATCGCGGCCACCTTGCGACAAAGCAGCTTGCTGAGTCGCCCAGAACCGAGGCGTGCGAACGGCTCTTTGTCCCCGGCAAAGGCGTGGTATGCTTCGATGCCGCTGCTCGGATCACGGCTGGACACGGCCCATAGCCACGGCTCCGCAACAAAGGTGTCGATCCAGCACGCAGAGATGTTCCTCGCCGTGGATGCCGCGGACACATCAAGCGGTTGCCGCCCATGGGCTTCTTCCCATTCTGACTCGTGAAAGACTACAAGCGGCTCGTCGTTGGGCTTGGCAAAAATTGACCGCTCGAAATCCTGGTCTGAGCCAAACACGAAATGGTTGGCACTCATTGGCGCAAGTCCGGTCACGTAGATAGCACCAATTGACAGGTTGGAAGGTGTAAGCAGGTTGTCACACCGAGATAGGGATGTCGCTTGCCAGAACGCGACGTTCGAGGCACTCGCTTTGGGAATGATCACGGCGAAGCAGAGCAACACCACCGGCGCCACACGGCGCCATGCGCTCATACCTGTACCGCTGCGCGTTCTCTTGCACACCTGAGGAGCTGCGCCCAAGCCTCGCAGAACGTCTTGAGGAGGCTCCGCCAGGCCCTGTGCAAGCGCCACGACAGCCGGAATGAGTGACAGGGCGCTGGCGTGGCGCGGGCGTGCGTCGCGGGCTCGGGCTGGACGGGCTGGTGGGGTGCTTGGCGAAGCACGCGGGCCAGGTGGTGCGGGCTGAGCGATCTGCAGGCTGTCATGGCATGCGCAAAGTCTGGCTAGGCGAGGCTGCGAGGCGGCGTGCGCTGGTGGAGAAGGAAGGCGGCGGCGTTTGAGCGCGATGCTTGTGCGGGGAGGAGCAGGGCGGGCGAGGAGGCGGGCGGCGCGACTGGATGCGGCGGCTTGCAAGCATGTGAGTTTGCACCGACCTGGTCCGCCGCGCCAGGGAGGGCGGCGAGGCAGGTGGCCCACGCCGCGCCGCGAGCCCCCTTTCCGCTCGCCGCGGTCGGCCAGGAGGCGCCGCAGGCGATGGCGAGGAGGATGAGCACGAGGGCGGGCATGAGAAGCGGCGAGCAGCTCACGAGCGAGGACGCCGTCGAGGCGACGGCGGGCGAGAAGGCCGAGGCGACGCCGGATGAGATGGTAGAGGACGCCGACGAGGCGACGGAGGCTGCCGAGGCGACGGCAGACGAGAAGGCCGAGGCCACCGCCGTCGGGCTAGGCACGGCGGGCGCGCAGTGGCCGAAGGCGGGCATGCAGACGAGGAGCAGCCACCGGAGGGCGCCCGCGGCCTTCGTGTAGCCGCCCCGCACGCAGTCGGCCGCCGCCTTGAGGCCGGCGCGGCCGCCGGCGCCGCATGTGCCAGCGCCGGCGCCGCACGTGCCAACGGCGAATGGCGCCTTGCCGGACGTGGTCTGCGGCTCGCGGCGCCGGTCCGGCGAAGGCGGCGTCTGCGGCCCGCCGCGCGGCTTCGGTCGCCGGTGCGAGCCGCGGCCGCGGCCCTTTGCCTTGCCAGACTTGCGCCTGCCCTTTGCCTTGCCAAACTTGGGGTTGTTGCGGCAGCGCATGGCCTTGCGCCGGCACCTCCCCGAGCGCCGCGACTGCAAGTCCGCCCACTTCTCCTGTCGCTCGGCAATGAGATCGAGCGCGGCCTTCGCCTTCTTGCGAATGCCCTCCCAGTACTCGCGCCGCTCGGCGGCTGCGGCCTCAGCCAGCCCCGCGCCCGCGCCCGCGTCCAGGGGCTTGGGCGCCACGGGCGCAATGCCGCCGGAGGTGGGGACTCCCGGCGACGGCGACTTCTTGCCGTCGGCGGGCGTAGCCTGGTAG